GATGAAAATGTTCTAAATTCAATGTGGTGATGGTTGTAGAACTCTATGAATATATTGAAAGTCATTGAATTGTACACTTTAAGTGAGTGAATTGTGGTATGTGAATTATATCTCAATAAAACAAAAACATTTTTAAAATTGCATAGTGATTGTATTAGTTCTCTATTGCTGCATAACAAAAATACCACAAAATTAGCAGCTTTAAACAACACCCATTTATTATCTCACCATTTTGTAGATGAGAAACCCATGGTGGGTGGAGAGGGTTAGAGCTATTGACTGAGTTTTCTGGTTAGGGTCTCCCAAGTCCAAAATTAAGGTATTAGTAGGGCTGAATTCTTATCTGGAGGCTCTGGGGAAGAAAACGCTTCATTCATATTGTTGGCAGAATTAAGATCCTTGCAGGTGTAGGACCGAAGTCCTGTTTTCCAGCTGGCTACTGGCCAGGCACAACTTTCTGGTCCTTGAATGTGGCCCTTTCCATTTTCAAAGCCAGCAATGGACTCTCAAATCCTTCTCCTGGTTAAAACTTCTCTAACTTACCCTTCTGCTACTAGCCAGAGAAAATTCTCTACTTTCAAATAGCACCCCAGACTAGATCAGATCCACACAGATAATTGCTGTATCTTAAGGTAAACTGGCTTGAGACTTCAAGCCCAATCATATTTGCAAGATTCACAGCAATACCTAGATTGGCTTGACTGAATAACCAGGAAATAAGAATCTCTAGAATTCTGCCTAGAATTTTTTCTTCAAAAAAGTTACCCCCCATTTTTTCAGCTTTCAGATATAATTGACATGCAACACAAAAATGTTCTTAAATTTTCATTGATGTCTAATGTACATATAGAAAAATGTCCAAATCACAACTGAATAGTTTGATTATTTTCATGCCATGAAGGTACCTATATAACTCTCACCTAGACCAAGAAACGACAGACAAATTTAGGGATAAATGACATCTTTCCAATATTGAATATCACAAATTTATTAACATGTTACACAGTTCCATGTATTTGAATCTTCTTTAATATATCTCAATGTTTTAGAGTTTTAAATTAAGTTTTGCATATCTTTCATTAGATCTATTTCTATGTTTTTGATGCTCCTATAAATGGTTTTATTTAAAAAATTTAAATCTGTTTATTGTTGGAATATAGAAACAAAATTGATTTTCTCTATACTGATGGAGTATCAGACACCTTGCTAAGTTCACTTATAATCCTAACAAGTTATCTGCTTATTCTTTTGGATTTTTCTATGTACATTATCATGTCATCTAACAATGACAGTTTTATTTCTTCCTTTCTAATCCTTATACTTTCAATTCATTTTTCTTGCCTTATTACACTAAGACCTTCAAAGCAATGTTGTATAGAAGGGGTATTAAATGAGCATCCTTGTCTGTTTCTCATCCCAGGAGGAGAACTTTCAATATTTTATTACTAAATGTATGTAATATTTACTCTATTATTTTGCAGATATCTATCAGATTAAAGGTATTCCTTCCTGTTCTTAATATGCTAAGAATTCTTATCATAGGGCTATTAATTTTATCAGAGGAGTGCCTGGGTGGCTCAGTCGTTTGAGTGTCTGGCTCCTGGTTTCCGCTCAGGTCATGATCTCATGGGTCATGAGATGGAGCCCCACATTGGGCTCTGAGCTCAGCAGGGAGTCTGCTTGAGATTCTCACCCTCTCCCTCTGCCCCTCCCCCCACTCACATGCCTTCTCTCTCAAATAAATAAATCTTTTAAAAAATTTATCAGAAAAATTTTTGTATTTATGGAGATCATCTTTCCACTTTTTCTCCATTTATTTTGTTAATATTGTGAATAATATTGATTTCAAAATGTTAAATAATCTTCCATTCCTTAATAAACTCCCTTTGTCAAGATGTCTTATTCTTTTTATATATTACTGGATTCAATTAGCTAATTATTTTCTTTAGGGTGTTTATGAGAGAAATTAGACTGTAATTTTCCTTTTTTTTTTTTTTTTGAGAGAGAGTGAGCAAGAGAGAGAGCATGAGTGGTGGGAGGAACAGAGGGAGAAGGAGAAGCAGACTCCCCACCGAGCAGGGAGCCCAATGTGGGGCTCCATCCTGGGACTCCGGGATCATGACCTGAGCCAAAGACAGATGATTAACTGACTGAGCCACCCAGGTGCCCCGTGTAATTTTCCTTTCTTTTAGTGTCCTTAAGTTTTAGTATCATGGTTATGTTGCCCTCATTAAATGCATCAGGAACTATTCCCTCTTTTTCCATTTTTTGGAAGTATTTGTGGAAGAAAGGTATATTTCTTTCTTGTTTAGAATGAAATGTCCAGAATGGGCAAATCTATAGAGACAGAAAGCAGATTAGTAGTTAGAAAGTAGATGAGTGGTAGAAAGTAGTTTAGGGCTATGAAGTTTGGGAGGAAAGTGGGAATGAATGCCAAAGGGTACAGTTTCTTTACGAGATAATGAAAATGTTCTAAAATGGATAGTGGTAATATTTGCACAACTCTCTGAATATAAGAAAAACCACTGAATTGCATTGTATGTGAATTATATCTCAACAAAGCAGTTTTAAAAAATCTATCATTGGACAGATTAGATACTCCTTGATCTAGACTTGATTAAATCCTCCTTCAATTTTGTTCAAAGAACAGATTGGAAACTACTTACCCAATTTGTAAAAGAGTTGATACCCAATCATTCATGTTTTAGCCCCAATGCCACTATTTCAATTATTCCCTTCTTTGGTATCCTGGAGCATTGCGCAATGGACCCGGAAAGGTATTTTGCCTACACTAGTTCTCATGAAGATTGATTTTAGGAAATACTTCACATGGAAGCATGCCTGTGTACCCTTAGAAAAGTCTTTGCATATCCCTAGGGATACAAATACCCTAGTCTGAAGACCATTGCAGTAGGCTATACCGCCTCTTAGTAGAGGCATGTGGGAGAAAATCAATCATGTTCTAGTATCTACTAGCTGTATGAAGATGCGTTCTACAGCAAGGCCTTTTGTTGGCCAATTAGGAACAGCATTTGGGTTGCTGACCCAGACATGGGTATTTCTACAAGGTCAGCTTTGGTCCAGGATGTTTGATGGAGATATGGTCTCATTTAGACAAACCTATGATCTCTGGAAGCCACAACAATGGAGACAACGACCTAGACAAAATAATCTTGGTTTCACTTGGTGACACCGAACTAAATGTTGCTTAGCTCTACCTGAGGTTGCCCAAACAGTTTCTGGCAGTTACAGGGGGATTTATATAGCCGGGAAACTCGATCCCTTGCCTTTCCCCTTTTACTTTTTCGTGGGCGAATTTAATCTTTGTACCTGCCATGTCTGCTGAGTGTATAATTAGCATGCTGACATCTGAGCAACAGTGTTTCTCAGTTAGCTTTATTTAGGTGTGGAAATATTTTTTACTTTGGGTAAACTTAGGTACCCCCCCCCAACTTCCTTATTATCCTGGATATGACAGCTTTTTAATCCTTAGAGTATGTCTGTCAAGGGCACAGAAATATCTGTATCCAGCTGTTAAAGTTGCCCTGTCCTTTAAGATACACATGAACCTGGCTCAACACCTCTCCTGCTTCCCCATTCCATGGATTACATAAAGGTCGATGCCCTCCTTACAATTTCCGAAAATTCCTGGGAGATGTAGGCTCTGTGTTCACCTGACTCCAACTCCTGTGTATATACTAGTTTAGGGTTGTCTCACTCTCTCCTTTCTGCTGTCCCTTTTATTTATTTGAGAAAGAGACAGCACGCACGAGCTGGAAGGAGAGGGAGAGAGAATCTGAAGCTGACCTGGAGTCTGACTCGGGGCTGGATCCCACAACCACAAGATCACGACCTGAGCTGAAACAAAGAGTCGGCTGCTTAATGGACTGAGTCACCCAGATGCCCCTCTGCTGTCCCTTTTCCACCCAGATCAACTCAATCAGGAAATTCAGAACTTGTTCTCGTTTGGTGTGCAGGGTTGAGGAGAGATTCCCTAAATCCTATGTGTCTATCAGACTTCAAAGACAGTTTGGGGGAATTGGAGGGACTTACTTCAAGCAACACAGCCACCATCACACTGAATGTCAGACATCTGTGTTTTTAAGGTTCTTCCACAGTTTCATTACCCTGCATGGGGCTTGGCCTTCTCTTCTCATTCTTTATTACCTTCATTCTGACTTTTCTATGCCTAGCAAAACCCAACATCCCAATTTCTTAGGCACAGAAACTTTTTCCAGCCCTTTCTCTGACTCTAGGTATCTGTCCGCATATATAGGACACAAAGTTAAAGCTTTAGAATTATTGTTTATAAGGATTTGCCTCATTAAGGTCACAGACAACCACTCCTTTCCTCTCCAGTTTTAGTTCAGAGAGTAAGGATGAGGATTTTTGTTTTTAATATTGATCAGGAAAAATCTCTAGGAGAATGAGGTATTGTATCTTAATAGAACAGGATGGCAAGGAAAATTGAGCCAGTCACTACTATTTATTGAGTCCCTAATATGCTCCAGGCAATGAGCTAGGAGCTAGGGCACAAAAGGCAACAAAATCAGACACAGTTCTGCTCGTGGGAAGCTTGCAGTGCTAGCGGAAAAGAGGAACATTAATCAAATACTCAAACAAACAAAACAAAAATATGAGTGTCACACCAGGAAGGTGGGGTGCAGGTGCTATTAGAGTAATAAGCTACCTAGTGGGAAGTCTGGGAAAGTCTCTCTGAGGATGTGACTGCAGAGCTGTGATCGAAGGCCCAGTAAGGGTTAACTTGTGGGAAGGAGAAAGAACATTCCAAGCAGAGGGAGTAGTTCCCCAAGACTGAAACCTCTGACAAAGGACTAAAAACAAGGGCCATGCGGCTGGAGCTGCAAAAACGAATGGCACTGTGGAGAAAGATTAGGTTGGAAAGGGTGGGCAAGGCAAGTTTCAAGTAGGGGGATGCTAGGCTCAGATGCTAGGCTCAGATTTGCATTTTGAAAAAAATCACTTTGCAGTATGGAGAATTGGAATTTTTTTTTTTTTTTAAGATTTATTTATTTTTTGAGAGAGAGAGAGCATGAGTGGGAGGGGCAGAGGGAGAGAGAGAATCCTTAAGCAGACTCCCCCGCTGAGCAGGGAGCATGACGCAAGGCTCGATCCCAGGACCCTGAGATCATGACCTGAGCCGAAATCAAGAGTCTGATGCTTAGCAGACAGAGCCACCCAGGTGCCCCAGATTGGAATATTAAAAAGGCTTGAGAGGAACCGTCAAATAGCTGGAGCACCCATAAGCAACTGATATGATTATTTAGAATAATCATATCTATGTGTGTGTTGTTTTTTTTTTTTAAGATTTTATTTATTTATTTGAGAGAGAGAATGAGACAGAGAGAGCATGAGAGGGGGGAAGGTCAGAGGGAGAAGCAGACTCCCTGCCGAGCAGGGAGCCCGATGTGGGACTCGATCCCGGGACTCCAGGATCATGACCTGAGCCGAAGGCAGTCGCTTAACCAACTGAGCCACCCAGGCGCCCTCTATGTGTGTTTTAATATAACTTTTAAACTAAATGAATATATACACACATAAATCATTCAAAATAGCAAATAGAAGTAGTACTATTAGGCTTATAAAAAACAGTAGTCCTGGGCGCCTGGGTGGCTCAGTCGTTAAGCGTCTGCCTTCGGCTCAGGTCATGATCCCAGGGTCCTGGCATCGAGCCCCGCATCGGGCTCCCTGCTCGGTGGGAAGCCTGCTTCTCCCTCTCCCACTCCCGCTGCTTGTGTTCCTGCTCTCGCTCTCTCTCTCTCTGTCAAATAAATAAACAAAATCTTTAAAAAAAACAGTAGTCCTCCGACCATCCCTCCTCATACCCCTTGCACCTTCCACTAAGGATCCCTTCGTCCACTCTTAACTATTTATCTGGTATTTTACTACACCCCTTTTTTCTTTTTAACATGATTTGCTTAAAGTGCTATTTATTTTCTAGTTTTAAGCATTGTTTACTTTCTACTAGGGAAGAATAGAATTTCTTGATCTTACCCCATGTCCCACCCTGCCCAAACGCTATTCTTCTCCTGCCAAGAGAGAACATTCAAAGCGTCACTAGCATTTCCTTTTTATTCTTCCCATGTAAGAAGAATTACTCTGAATCATTCGTTGCCTGACAAATCCATCAATCAATAAGGACAGAACCACTACATTTCACTATAAATTGACACCCTTGTGAGGACAAAAGTACCTTCCCTGTACATCAGTCATAAACATACTTGAAGCCATAGGACTTGGACCCCATTAAGTAAAAACTGCTCAGATTTTGAAGCTGGCGTAAGAACATTCAAGGAAATTACAGTTGAATTACATGTGCTCGTCGAAAGACCTAATAAAGCTATTTGCACTAGGAGGCCAAAATAATCTTCAAAAGACAAATGTTCTAGAAGAGAAGTGTTCGAAAGGTCATTAATTGATGAACTGTATCATCCACCCATAGAGCAGCGAAATAGGCCTCTCTCATGCTGCTGCAGAGTGTGAGCCAGAAAACAAGTGGGTGATTCCCATGCAGAGTCTAAGACAAGTCAGATGTGTTGGCCTTCCAATAAATCAATGCTAAGGAAATATTCAGAGATACAAAGATTTATGCCCAAGAATATTCATGATAGTATTATTTATATGTATAATGGAAAGCAATCCCAATGCCCCCAAAGTAGGAAAATTATGTTACATCTATAGAATGGAGTACAATAAAATCATTAAATTCATGCTTTCAAAGAACAGTTAACATCGTGGGAAGATGCTCATAATGTTAAATGAGAAAAACAGTTGAGGTCACCCTACATGTAAAAACATACACACATATATAAACATAGTATGTTTAAATATATATAAAATATCTATGCACACTCAATTTTTTTTTTCAGTGTATAGAAGAAGACAGTTTTTTCTCCCAGTGTGGTTTGCTACCCATATATCTCAGCACCACCCAGACGGAGGGCTTGCTAAAAATGCAGATCCTTGGGTTCCACCCCTGACCAACTGAATTAGAGGCTCTGGAATCACAGCCCAAGGATTTTTACCTACCTACACACCCTTGTCCACCCACGTACTACCTTGCCCACCTACGTACTACCTTGACTGATACTGACTCACACCTTCATTTGAACACCACTGAGCGAGAAGTAGTTGCTCTCAGGGTGGTAGAATTATGAGTAATCATCTTCTTTCTGGAATCCTTAAAAAAGATTATCTACCAAGTGTATGCTGCTTTTTATAATAAAATCTCATTAGAAGTATATTAATGAAGCATGAGTATCAGAAAAACAGAGCAGATCCGGGGTCTATTTGGGCAAGTCTAAACACCTTCTGAGAATTGGAAATCTAAAGTAAGCAGGTACCTATAGATTCCTGACAATTGGAAAGCCAGTTTTGGATAAGGAAAATACTAAGCATAGATATGGAATTCATTACATCAATAAGTTGAACAGGTAAAAAATGTAAATATAATAATTTTGAGAAGTATTAGGTAATATTTCTCCGTGTTCCAGGATATTCCTTGGCAAAAGAGGATTCGGTGATAAGTTTGGGGCACCAACTTAAGAGTCATACAACCATGAGCAGATTACAGGCTCTGGGAAGTCCAATATAAGCTTCATTCTTCATTCTAGCTCCACAAATTCTTAGAATGTGTCCTACCATTAAGAACAAAATTCTAGGCCAGAAGAGAGCCCAAGAAGCAATTCTCACCATGGATCAATACCCTGTGCTTGATTCATCCGTTGTATCAATTTGTTCCCACATTCCCATGGTCTCGGAGGGCTTAGCCCATATACTGGTAAGGCCTGACTTTAGGGCACAGCTCAAGTCAGCTGCAGATAATGCTCAAGAACGGCAAGAGAGAGTGCCAGGCTACAAGATTAGAGTGTGTGAAGGACCTGTATATTTACTTTTGTTTTTCACTATCAGTATCTACCACCTAGACAGTGAGCCTGAAATTTTCTCTTATATTCACTTACATAGTCCCAACACAGTAAAACCTGGCACTGGCACTTAACTGGTACTCAGCTGAATGGGGCACCACCAAACAGGTGGTCAAAATTTTTTGGACAAATAGAGTAATGAAGTGGGCTAGGCTCGGGTCCTAAACTTAAGGTCCTAAAGTTTATGCAGTCATGGCCTCATTTCATTCAATAAACATTTCTGAGTGCTTATTATGAATGGATAATTCCAGAATGCAGAGGCGACTAAGATACAGTCTTTACCCTCAAGAGCTCCATACAGTAGTACTACCAGCCATTCCTGGATGTACAGGTTTGAGCACACATTAGGCGTCTAATAAATGCTTGTTTTAATTGAGTTCAGAAACCAAGATACACTTTAAGCTGGTCAAACTTTGGTGGCCCAAGAGTCTAGAGTAGGGCCAGTAGAGTAGAGTAGAATCAAACCATTCTGGAAACTGCTTCAGAATGACCAAGATCTTGAGTAACTAGACCCATCTTGATTATCACTACTCTAGGGACTCTAGAGCCATCCAGGAGTCAAAAGTTTTTATGAGAGAAGCCCCAGAACCCAAAAGAAGTTAACAGTATATACCATGATAGAATTTCTAAATATGTCTACTATAAAACTCCCAAGGTTCCTGAAAGGTTAATAGATAGTATGTGGTGAAACAGGACTGAGAAAGGGGTTCAAAACAGTTGATAGGCCCCTCTACTGCAGGACTTCTCAACACCTGTAAGCAATGTACTATGTTCCTTTTATGCACTGTCTTATTTAATCTTCACAGTGATTCTACACAGTCTTATTATTTTTCCCATTTTAGAAATGAGCAAGCTGAAGCTCACAAAGAGTAAGTAATCTGCACCAGACCACAAGGTACAGAATGGGACTCTGAAATCATGTCTTTCTGGCACCAAAGACGGGTTTGTGATCATTCAAGCAGTACTGTTTTTTCGGTATCGATGGCCACTAGAACACCTCCAGAGGGACTCACAACATAAAGTGTTTCCCAAACTGTGATGAGGAAATCCTTTTGAAAGAATCTGTGCTTGAGACTAGCTTTCCATGTAATCCATTTTGAGAAATACTGTGGGTAAAATGAGTCAAGAGATATCCCATGGCAGACAGAAGGGAGGTAGCAGGCAGCTCAGAAGGAAAATCTAGCTTATTAAAACTGTGCTCAAAGAATTGTTAATAGGGACACATAAATTAAACCTCAGTTTAATAGGTATCATTTCTTTACCTCCAGATTCATAAGTTACAGTTCATGGCTCATTTCTGTCAAATATTTGATATGATATTACAATATCTTCACTTAGCTAGTTGTCTAATGTTTGTTTCAAGAATTTGACTTAACCAGTTCAATTCATGTCATTAATTTTGATAAAGTATATTCCCATTGGGAGTATAATTTTTAACTTGCTGTGTATTTCAATAGGCCTACAATCTGCATTTTGGGGTGAGATCATTTTTCACTGTACAGGACTGACCCCAACTTTGTAGGATCTAGCATCCCCTACTGACTAAATTCTAACAGTACTCTTATCCAGCACCCCCTCCCAGTCATTTTGACAAGAAACATCCCCATAATTTCTATGGGAATGGTATCACCCCCAGCTGAGACCCACAGGTTTAGAACCAGAAAGTTCCAAAAAAGCATTAATTGAAGGATAAACACCTACCTTGACCCTGCATTCAGTATTCCAGCAAACAAATCAAGATTTAATATGCTAGCTTCAATCCTGCATGTATAATGTCTCATTACATTTTTCTCTATTCTGTTAATAACATGAACAGATTCAACAAACTGCTAAAACACCGCTTTTAGCCAAGAGGGCTGAGCCTATGTACCTGCCAACAACAGCACTAAGAACGGGCAGAAGCAAGCCCAGGACTGCGTGGGGGTGCTGCCTTAAATGGGAGGCAGCCGCCGCAAAACAGAAAGTATACCTGAATAGTCTATCGTTTTGTCAAATTTGGACTTTAAGAAGGCTGCTGGTTTTTTTCTTTCTTTTTAAAATGATTTATTATCAAAAAGCTTGCTCCCTCTCACTGCTGAGTCAGTCCAGCAGTGCAGCTCTATCCTGTTGAGGATTATTAGGACCTGAATAATCTTAGACCAAAACAACAACCACCACCACCACCAGCACCACCACCACAACCAACTTGACTGTTGGTTCAGGGACATATCCACAGACACGTCAGGATGCATTCTGGAATACTGGGTTCACTTCTTGATTGGAATGCCAATCACCATAAAGTCTTCTGCTAGAGTCACTTCTTGGAGATCTAACACCGATTCAGCTTGCTTTTTTAGTTCTACAATCCCATCTGTTTCTCCTTCTCTGGCCAAGGCAACTGGCTTGTACCTCTGACTGAAGTGAGTCAGAACTAGCCTCTTTGCGTGGCACAACTTCGCAAATGCAGCTGCCATCTGTGGTGTGCTGTGGCCGTGCTCCTTTGCTTTGTCCATCTGACCATCATCTAGGGTTGCTTCATGGATCAACAGGTCGGCTTCAAAGCACAGCTTCACTCCTCCATCACCCACAACCCCAGAACAGTCACCCAAAATGCAGATTTTTCTTCCAACAATAGGCTTTTTTAAGACATCTTGGGGAGAAATTGTAACTCCATTTTCCAGAACAACAGAAATTCCATTTTTCAGCTTCCCATAGGCAGGACCTGGTGGCACACCTAATGATGGAGGCAGATAACATCACATTATGGGACTGGAATTTATGACTTGTTAAGAGAGTCTAACAGCACAGCAAACGGAAAAGGCATCCAATTCTTTTCATAATTGTTATAAATATTTTACTACTCGTGGAAAGCTGGAATATTTATACATTTTTAAAAATTCAGTGCTGGCTATTGATATTAGTGATGCCCTACTACTTAAAACATTTCCCAAGCACATGTGTCAGATGAGCTTTAAGCTTTTAAGTTCCCTAAGACTAAGACTTTCTTACAGTCAAGCTACCAGCTTTGATTCTCTGCCGTGAATGGAGTAACAGTTTTTGAGACTGCTTTATTTAACAAACTCATGTTTGAGTAAACTTAATGAGTCCATTTAAATAATAACAAGGTACCTACAGACTAACTTAATAAAAAAAAATGGTTTGAGAGGATCATTTGGATCACAAGATCAAGGAGCATTTCTGTCAATCATACATAATCAGTCTTTGTAGGTTTGGTAAACCTTTTATTAATTATCTTATATTCATCGAGAACAACACGTGACCATCACTCTGAACAACATCTATAAACAAACAGAATGTGTTCACTAATTCCAGCATGCGTCATTTTAAAGTTTCCCAATATAATAGTATTTCCACAGGTTCTTGGATAAGAAAAATACCTTTGGCCTAAGTCATTTGTCTTCATTATTTAGTATTTTGTTTTAGTTGGAGAAGAATGAAGAGATTGCATAAAGAAACAAATACACAAAAGACACCATCATGCTTTTTATGGGCTCTGCTGTGGCCATGACAAGGAAGGAGGTGATGCTGGGGATAGAAGGGACCTGGACGTTGCTTCGAGAGAGGTGAAGACCCCCTCATGCACAACGGCCTGGCATGGAGAAGGTACAAAGCCTCAGAGGGGGCCCAAGTCTGTCTCTGTGTGCTGGCTCCCGCCTACGAGGAGTTTGAAACAGTTGAGGCGCAGTGTTCTGAACACCAAATTAACTTAATCAAGGTTGAATGAGTAGGCAAGGTTGATAAAGAAGGAAAACCCTGAAAGTAGCTGGTTGCAGTTGCACGGCTAAGAACTGTGACAAAAATTCTCAGGGCAAAGAGGTCACTGAAAACATACTTCAAAAGGAAGACATGAAAACATAAAAGCCTAGACCTAAGACAACCACCACCACCCTGCCAACCAAGATAGCTAGCTCAATGTAAGATACACTAAAAATGTGGATCCAGGGAGCTGAAGAGAAAAGGATTCACATATATACTTGGGTTTTGGTCTGAATAGCATCTTTTGGCCCCACATATTTCCCTTAATGAACAAACTTTGGGCAAAAGAAATAAGCGGAGAAAATGTCAGTTTTAGGCCTGGGACACAGGAAAGGAAGGTTATTATGACACTTCTAGCAGCTTCAGCTAACAACAGCTTAATTGATGAGGAGGAGGGAGAAAAAAAAAAACCAAAAACCACCACTTACCGAGGTCTTTTAGTTTCTGTGCATTGAGTTTACCTGGGCGTTTCTTCTCCACAACTGAAAACCCAAAGGAGGGAATTCGGTGAAAGAGGCGAAATGCTTTTACAACAAACTGTTCGTCATCAACCAGAAGGTATGAGTTTTCTTCTGAGTCTAAAAGGATAGTTCTTCCTTGTCCCTCTTTGGGATGGCTGTCTGTTTTATTCACGTGCATAAATTCTTTTAGTTCTTCTGTAGGACACTGATCTGCTGTAGGCACCAGCTCATGGACCACATAGGGGAAGACCAACTCTGTGTGAGAGAGTTCCATGGTTCTCCAGATAAAGTCTCGAAGCCCAGCAGGGCCATAGATTTCAATAGGCTGTTTGGTGACCACAGAGCCACTCTGCAGGCTGATTGTGCAGAGGAGGCCAGGAAGGCCAAAGAAATGGTCTCCATGAAGATGTGTGATGAAGATCTTGGTAATTCTCCCTTTTGATTGAGGCAGAGAAATAAAATTGGGAATTTTTCCAGAAGTAAAAACCCATACAACGCTACTTAAAACATGTATAACAACTTACAAAGAAAGCAGAAAAATGAATTTAGAGTTCTATTTATCACCATAAACTTATTTCTTTATATTTTGCTACATGATTCTAGAAGCAAGAAAGACAGGCTTTATGGTTTTAATAAGATACAACTTTTTCATAAAAGATCTTCAAATTACATAGTATTGCAGTTTTAAGAGTATTTTCCACAGTATAGAGGTTCCTCAAAAAGTTGAAAATAGAGCTACCGTACGACCCAGCAATTGCACTACTGGGTATTTACCCCAAAGATACAAATGTACTGATCCGAAGGGGTACATGCACCCCAATGTTTATAGCAGCAATGTCCACAATAGCCAAGCTATGGAAAGAGCCCAGATGTCCATCAACAGATGAAGGGATAAAGAAGATGTGGTATATATATATATACACAATGGAATATTATGCAGCCATCAAAAAACCTGAAATCTTGCCATTTGCAACAACGTGGATGGAACTAGAGGGTATTATGCTAAGCGAAATAAGTCAACCGGAGACAGACATGTATCATATGATCTCACTGATATGAGGAATGCTTAATCTCAGGAAACAAACTGAGGGTTGCTGGAGTGGTGGGAGGTGGGAGGGATGGGGTGGCTGGGTGGGGTACGTGCTATGGTGAGCACTGTGAATTGTGTAAGACTGATGAATCACAGACCTGTACCTCTGAAACAAGTAATACATTATATGTTTAAAAAAAAAGAGAGAGAGAGAAGATAGTAGGAAGGGAAAAATGAAGGGGGGAAATCAGACGGGGAGATGAGCCATGAGAGACTATGGACTCTGAGAAACAAACTGAGGGTTCTAGAGGGGAGGTGGGTGGGGGGATGGGTTAGCCTAGTGATGGGTATTAAAGAGGGCACGTACTGAATGGAGCACTGGATGTTATACGCAAACAATGAATCATGGAACACTACATCAAAAACTAATGATGCAATGTATGGTGATTAACATAACATAATAAAATAAAATTTTAAAAAAGAGTATTTTCCTACATATCTTCTTGCTGAAAGAAAGAAAGAAAGAAAGAAAGAAAGAAAGAAAGAAAGAAAGAAAGAAAGAAAGAAAGAAAGAAAGAAAGAAAAGAAAGAAAGAAAGAAAGAAAAGAAAAGAAAAAGAGAGGAAAAATAAGAAAGTGTACTAAAATAGTTCACTTAAACTAGATAGGCCTCAAATGCCAAAAGCATCTGACAGTTACAATGCTTCCTCTGAGCATAACGAATATATACTTCCAGCAAAACAAATGTTCCCCTGGCTCCAACTTGACCAACATCTGAACCCCAAACTGCCATTTAAGGACTCCAGACTGGACAGAGATTAACTAAGCAAGAAAGAGCCTGCCTGAGTGAGTTTGAAGGGGGAGGAGAAAAAGGAAGACAATGAGGCAAGAGGGAGAAAGAAGGGGGTGGGAGAGGATAGGGGTGAAGAATCCAGAGGGGAGGTGGGCAACAGACGCTAGAATGTAGATCAGAGGGCAGATCCCGTATGGTGCTATACAAAGGTATGTGGGCCCATACCTTCAGTGTGAGCTAACCCAATGCCTTTTTCAGTGCATATTGGCCTCGGTTGTAACTTGACTTAGCCATTGGTAAACTGAATTTATTGTTGGTATGTGGCAGGATGCCACATTAGCATTTTTCTGAGATGCACCAAGGCATTTCAAAAGTAACAATCACAATTAACGAAATTTTAGTATAACTGAGGCTTCTGGTGCTAGCCTCATAGACCACCTATTTCAAACATTTGATACCATAAAAGAATAGGAACAGTTTATTATTATCATAAAAGAATAGGAATAGCTTATTGTAAAGTGATTTGTCCAGTGACATCAAGGCAAAAGTGTTCTCCAAGTAAGCCTTCCAGAGTTAATACACCAAACTCAGGCCCTGGTGGCAGGGAACCATAGATTGGGCAGAGGCTGATTTGAGATCTGGAGAATCCTGAAGCACTCTAGAAGTTTCCTCAGTATGCTCTTTTGTTTTCTCTTTTTAGGCCTTGCTTTTACTGTCTTTTGACTTCTTGGAACCCCTTCATTTCCCTCCTTTCCTGCTGTCCGGGCTGCTGAGGCGCCCGTAAGTGTGACCTGAGGCCTCTGCAGACAGAAGAACTATGATGGTTATTGAGTCATGACCTCACGCTGACCTTACAAAGGCCAAGTCAGACGTTCTGGGCCCTCTCCCTATCTAGTGCACAACAAAGCCAACACTGAACACCAAGACAATCTGTGAGCCCAAAGCAAGTGAGACAAATAAAGTAAGTCAAAAATTGCTTCCCACACTTACTACAGTTTCAGGGAACACAAACATTTCATTTTTCAAGAAACTTGATTTTGGAGGGAGAAGGAATGGCAACCATAATGACCAAAGTTAGGAGATGCTATCACATGAAGAAAGCAGAGTACATGAATTCCCTTTCACTTGGGAACAAGAAAGTTTCCAGGGTATACATCATCCACAGAGAAGTGGAATACTAAACATCCCCTAAGTGAGAATGCAGTTACATTTACTGCTGTAGGAAAATGTATGCAATATAATTGTTCAGTTGGAAAAAAAGCAGGTTACACCTAGTATACCATTTATGCAAATTACACACACACACACACAAATACATCTGTACTATTAACATATCTACAACTACAAAAAAATTTACCTATAAGGTAATTTTACCTATAAGGGGAAATCAGGCTTTTCTTATTTTATGTTTCTGCTTTGTTTGAATTTTTACAATGAGCATGTATACTTTTTTTTTTTAAGTTTTTATTTATTTATTTAAGTAACCTCTATACCCAATGTGGGGCTCAAACTCACCACCCCAAGATCAAGAGTAATATGTTCCTCCAAGTGAGCCAGCCAGGCGCCCTGTATGTATACTTTTCCTAATCATTTCATTATACTTTTGTAATACTTTTAATAATAATTTTAAGGGAAGAAAAAGGCTTAAGCTCACTCTTTTTAAAACTATGAAAGAAATAGACATGACAAACCCATATTTGCTAATCAGATGCTTGCACATTAGGACCAAGGAAGCTTAAAAGAAGTGTGTTTAGATAAATAAAAAGTACTTCCTTATGAAACTCATAAAATATTATTACTCCAGGAGGAGTATAAGCTGAAAGGGTTTCAATGAATCAAATAATGATAGGTCCATACTGGGTTGAGAATAATCCAAATGAATTGAGGGTACTCTATTCCAGTTTGAGGCTGGGGACATGTGAAATGCTACAGAGTCATAGATAATGTTTTGTGATTACCATCTTACCCTCCTCTCTGAGGCCAGGAATTTTCTTAGCCAATAAGAATTTAGTAAACTAAAGGTTCCCTTAGGCTTTATTTTATTTATTCTTTGTGAGGCTTAGCTTTGCAAAATGTTTACTTAAAACATATATAAAATAGCTATAAAATATTAGAGAAAAATATTGTAGCAAATAGATGTGAGGTGGTACTCCCAGCCCTTGATGTTCATGTCCCTCTACAACTCCTTCTTCTTCAGTGTGGGTGGGACCTGTGACTTTTCTAACCAGTCAAATATGGCACAGGGATACAGTGTGATTACATTATGTTATAAGATTCCATTTTGCTAGCAGGCTTGCTCTTGAGTTTCTTTCTCCCTGGCCGGCAGTAAGGAATCAAGCTACCACGAAGAAAAACCCACATGATCAGGAACCAGAGGAGGCCTCTAGGAGCTGTGGCAGCCTGGTTCTACAATTGTAAGGATTCTGCCAAAAACCCAAGTGATCTCTGAAGCAGATTCTTCCCCATTTGAGCCTCTGATGAGATCTCAGCCCTGGCCACCAAACACAGATTGCAATCCAGTGAGACCCTGAAGCAGAGAACCCAGCCAACCCAGGCCCAAACTCCCTGACCCACAGAAACTATGATAATAAATGCAAATAAGACACTAAATTTATAATCTGTTATGCAGCATTGATAACCGATACAGGTATTAAATAACAAGTAAAGACTTATCCCCACACCCAAACCTCTGGTACCCACACTTAAGTTTCTTGTTTCTGTTTTAATCATCCTACCACCTCAATCTCTACTGTCTAAAATGTGAACTATTACAGCCTCCACTCTAGCCTGTTTGTCCCGGAGAGTTCTCATGAAAGGAATCCCTCTGTGATCCAAGGGAAATAAAGCATAGTATCTGTCCTCACCTCAGGGTCTTAGGTTGATCTGTGTACACCTCAAGGCCATGAGTCCTAACTGATATGCATTAGTTCCTTCCTCCAACAGCTCTGTTCTTGACTTCCTATTTGGGTCTGGGACACCGTAACTGTAACTTGCAGTCCTTCACTTCTTCACATCCTAGACATTCAATCAGTCACCACCCACTGCTAGTTGTGTAAGTATTTCTTAAATTGAGTCTCTCATCTTCATCCTTATCCCTACTTCCTGCTTCAACAGCCTCATCCTCTCTTCTCTCAGATGAATGCAACTGCCTTAAAACTGGTCTCTCCCAGGGTGCCTAGGTGGCCCAGTTGGTTAAGCATCTGCCTTCAGCTCAGGTCCTGATCTCAGGGTCCTGGGATCAAGCCCTGCATCGGGCTCCCCACTCAGCAGGGAGCCTGCTTCTCCCTCTCCCTCTGCTCCTCCCTGAAGCTTGTGCTCTCTCTCTCTCTCAAATAAATAAAATCTTAAAAACACACACACACAAACAACTGGTCTCTCCCAGGGGCGCCTAGGTAACTCAGTTGGTTAAACATCTGACTCTTAGTTTCGGCTCAGGTCATGATCTTAAGCCCCAAGTTGGGTTCCACACTCCGTGGGGAGTCTGCCTGAGATTCTCGGTCTCCCTCTGCCCTGCCCCCTGCTCATTCTCTCTCTCTCTCTAAAATGAATCTTAAAAAAAAAAAAAAAAAACCAAGAAAACAAAAAACAAAAAAATGGTCTCTCCCAGTATATTTGCCATAGAAAAACTCCGTCCTAAAACACAAATCAGACCATGTCATTCCCCTGCTAAGAAACTTTTAATGTTCCTTATTGCCAATAGAATAAAAAGGTCCAAATACGTTAGTAGGCCATGGAGGACTTCATAGTCTGCCCTCACTTTTTCAGCATTTTTCTCTCTCATCTATCCTGGCCCAACACTCAATGATTTGGATGGCTCAATATTCCCTAAACATGTCACTTGTCTTCTGGAAATTCTATTACTTCTTGCTCACTTCATTGTCTGTTCCTTGAATGTCCATCCCTACTTTTCTCCCCGGAGAAACTTCTAATCATCTCTTAGATCCTAGCTCTACTGTTACCATTTCTGGGATGCTTTCTCTGAACACACAGTTAATGTCCTCCTCCTTTGTGCTCCAAGAGTATTTCGAAAACAGTTCCACTGTTCTCTTTATCACATTACACTAGGTCTGTTTACATATCAGTTTCCACCACTAGAATAAGAGATCCTTGATGCTAGAACTAACTTTATTTTAGTCATCAATGCCACACACTGTGATGAATCACAGGAATAATTTCAATAACTATCATTTATCAAGACCTAGTAAGTGAGAAACACATACTAAGTGCTGAACACCTTATTCATGCATCAACTGAAGAGATATTTATTAGGCATCTACTAGGTATATATATGATCCTTGAGCTTACTTTATCATACAGGGAAATACACAGTAAACACAGAAACAACTATTTAAATAACAATTTTAGATACTGGGCGCCTGGGTGGCTCAGTCGGTTAAGCGACTGCCTTCGGCTCAGGTCATGATCCTGGAGTCCTGGGATCGAGTCCCGCATCGGGCTCCCTGCTCGGCAGGGAGCCTGCTTCTCCCTCTGACCTTCCTCCTTCTCATGCTCTCTGTCTCTCATTCTCTCTCTCTCAAATAAATAAAAAATAAAAATCTTTAATAAAAAAAAAAAAAAAAAAAAACAATTTTAGATACTGATGCTAAGAAATCAATAAAAATAGCACAAAGAAGCAGAATACCTGGGATGAACAAGGAATTACTTAACCCCAGAGGTTCAGGGAAAGCCTCTGAGAAGACGGTATTTGAACTAAGATTTAACTGACTGAGAGAAAACTATACAGAGAAGGGATTATTATATATAATGCTTATAACATCCCTTCTAGGTTGAGCTTTTATCTTCATTTTCATGATGAGGAAAATAAAGCTTAAGTTCGTTGATCTGCAAAGGCCACAAGCCAGGACACAGCTGGGACTGCAACCCAGGCTGGTCTGACTCTGGGCCAAGGCTTTGCACCGCTGTACTCCTTGGCCTGGTGGAGTACTCTGGTGGGCCTTTGCTCACACCATTGCCTCTAGCTGGCATGCTTATCTTCTCCCCAGCCCAGCGAATCCCTCCTCCTCCTTCAACAACTCACGGGTCACCTTCTTTGAGATACCTCCCTGATAACCCCAAATGAAAAAGAACATCTCACTCTCCTGAACATCTATTGCTCTTTGTATCCTCTTGTGATACTTACAACTATCTCCTGGTGGAAATAAGTATGTACACTGCTCCTTTGCTTCTGGAGTATCCATGTAATATGCCTCATGTATCTCACTCCATCCTTCACCCCCCAAGCTTATATAAATCCTTGCTCTCAACCTTTATAGAAAAACAAAAACTAAATAAATAAAATTCAGTGGGTGTGGCCGGATGCCTCAGGGCCTTCCAAATCTTGCCAGGGCTCTAGCACTGAGGTGGGATGCAACTGTCCGGGCTGTTTCTGAGCAAAAGGCCCTAGGAGAGCCAAGACAATGACTAAGAAATAGTCTTAATGAGATAGCCAAATGCACACTAACCTGCTTTAAGTTGGCTTTTCATAAGCTGTGTCTGAGTCCCCTCCCCGCAGTCAAAGAGCCAGCACTCGCCCTCACACCGAAGGACCAGAGCAGAGGCACCCCGGGTTGGGGATGGGTATGCTGCACCCGTACCCAGAAATGTCACATCCATAGACATCTTCCACCCTGCAATGAAAAGATCATCCAGGGATTATTACACATCACTGCTCAAAATCACCAAAAACACATTCTTGTGAGATTTACTGTTATTTACATTATCTATAAATATTATTTATAAAATATTCAGAAGACAGGATTCTTGTTCTCTAATAGTTTTCCAAAGAAATACCAAGTAAGATCTTAGTAACTCTCAGTGAGTTAAAACCACAAGTTACCAAACTTTGTATGACTGCTCACACACACAAAAACAAACAAGTTAGAAGACTGCAAAATCCAGTCAACTAAAAACTATAGTTGAATCTCAACTATCTGATATTCTGGAAAAGGTCAAACTATGGAGATGGTAAAAGTACCAATGGTTGACAGTGGCTTGGGGAGAAGGAGGGAAGGATGAGGAGGTGAAGCACAGGGGAGATATACTAGTTACTAGGGGTGGAGGTATATATTACTTTTATGTTTTGGGAGAGTAAGCTGGCAACATATAGTACCAATAATAATGATGCTGCTAATAACAACACATTTTAACCCAGCAACCACGTTTTTTGGACTCTACCCTACAGAAATAAAGGACCTATATACAATGATGTTTCCTGTGGTACTTTTAAGATGGCTAAAATTTGGAAGCAATCTGACTATATTTCAATAGGGAAATGATTGAATATTTTACATTCATTCCATGAACTATTTATTCTGCAGTTAAGTCAGGTCTGTAAATGTCCTGGAGGGATGACAATGAGAAAAGTTATAGATGGCTATGGCATGATCTCATTTTTACAATGCCCTGAACCTCTGCATTTACATAAGACAGAGAAGGTCTGCGTGGAAGGATACATACCATATTGTTAATATTGGTTATCGCAGGGGTGATTAAAATCGTGATGGTAGAGAGTGGTTAAGTTTTCTTTTAAATCTCTGGATTGGTTTTGGTTGCAATGAACAGTATTTGATGTCTTTATTTTTTAAAAGATTTTATTTATTTATTTGGCAGAGAGAGACACAGCGAGAGAGGGAACACAAGCAAGGGGAGTGGGGAGGGGAGAAGCAGGCTTTCTGCTGGGCAGAGAGCCCGATGCAGGGCTCAATCCCAGGACCCCTGGATCATGACCTGAGCCGAAGGCAGACGCTTAACAACTGAGCCACCCAGGTGCCCCGATGTCTTTATTTTAAATGTATTTTATATTTAACTTATTTAATATTATTTAAAAGAAATGTGTCATCATCTAAAACTAATGTTGTAATGTAAGGGGATTAACATAAGAATAAAAAAATTAAAAAAAAAAAAAGAAAAAAAAAAAAAAGAAATGTGTCATAAGGCTGAACATACTTTTCTAACCACACATCACCTAATCTTTCTTACCATTTGGAGATACAGTCAGCCCTCCCACCCCCTCACCCCACACACACCTCACACTCACAGATGGTACATCGCTCCAACCCATGCACAGGTTTTAGGTAATTGCTAGTGTCCCTTCCATGTGTTACTCCACACTTTCACTTCCAAGATCAAGCCTTCCTCTGATAATTAGGTAATTTAATTTGCAGAGGCTTTCCTGTTGGGATTGCAGTTTGCAACAGAGGTGAGAATAACAGAATGTAGAAAGTTAAACATTTTAAAAGCTAATAAATGCAGAAGGAATAATAAAATATAATCACTTCGCAATCCTTAACAAATTATGGATCTAGGCCACTGGTACAGAACCCTGGAGCATATTAGAATCACCTGGAGAGCTTTTAAACCGTATCAATAATTGGGCTCCATCCCAGAACAGTTAAAAAGAAAATTCTGCAAGTAAGACATGCATTTTAGTATTAAAAAAAAAATTCTTCCCCTGTGATTCTAACGTGCAGTCAGGTTTGAGAATCACTTGGTGAAAGGCTAATGGAGAACTACAAAGGATAGATCAGGCTGACCTGAATTCACTAGTCAAGTAGTCAGTCTTAAAAAAAAATTTTATTATGAAAAATTTCAAACACAAAAGTAGAGAGATTAGTGTAATGCATTACCATATAACCACCACTGAGCTTCAACAGTTATCAACTGATGGGCAGTCTTGTTTGGTCTATATCCTCCACCCATTATCCAAGAATACTTGGTCAGTATTCATCCAAGAATACTTGACTAAGTGGTATTTGGTACTTCCATCAGGAGCACATGCTACTGGCTGTCTCTCTCTTTCTGATGTTAACAGCCACTAATGCTCATTGCCAGGATTCACTATTTCATTAGAGGTTGCCAAAAGGTGATATTCTCTCATGCCTCTGAAGTCATTAGCTGGCATCCCTCTGTAAATCCTCAATTATTTAGTTACCCTGCAGTGCAATCTGTACAGAAAAGGTCCATTGACCAATCTTAACACCACAAAGAGAAACAAGATCTTATCTGACTCCTGGTGTGCTGCAGTATGAAGTACACAATAACCCTTTGAGGTTTTCTTGCCAAAACGTAGAACCTGAATCTGAAAAAAACTGTAATCTAAACACCAGCTTAATAAAGGACACCACAGGGATGGAAGAAGCAAAATCCGGTATGTAGGAAACTTTACAGAACAAATGAACAGGTTTTTTTTTTTTAACAAGTAAAATACAAGGGGCAAAAAAAATAGAGAAGCCATAAGGAGATTAAATGAAGTAGAAAAGACGTCAACCAAACGTGGCATGTGTAGTTTGTTTGGACCTCGATTTGGACAAACTGAAAAAGAGAACTGGGAGGAAGGGAGACAATTGGGGAAAGGTAAACGCTGACTGGATAAATGATAACATGAAATGCTTATTAAACTGATAATGGCTTTGTTTTAAAAAGAAGTTATTCTGTTTTATAAACATAAACAAGTATTTCGCAGATAAAATGGTACATTCGGATTTGCTTTCAAATAATCCAGTGAGGTGAGGGTTAACAGATGAAACAAGATTGATCTTCTTTTCCTATGTTCGAAAGTTTCCATAATAAAAAGTTTAAAAATGAGCCAAAGAATCAAAACCCTTCCACCAGGTCGGGAAGGAATCAGAAATTAATGTATTTAATCGACGGTTCATGTTTTGTGACACGCACCAAGAATTAAAAGTAACCAGACCAGATTTGGTGCCCGTATTCTTGAACATAAAGCCAGCCGCTTGCTTTCTCATGGTTATGCTCCACCCTGGATCAAGTGCACATTCCGGTCGAGAGCACAGCACACGACCACATACTGTCACCTGACACTCCCCGGGCCAGTGGTTCTCGTCCCGGCTGCACATCACAACCTCCTGGGGACTCTGGGGACTCATGATCTGGAAGGCTTCCCAGATGACTCTAAAGGCGGCCAGGTTGGGAACCAGTTTGCACACAGGCAGCGCCAACCCTGCGATCACCCTGTGGGGCAGGGAGGGCGGACACCGCCTTCCTCCATTTTAGAGATGAGAGAACCGTGGCCCGGGGAGAGACAAATGGAGAGGCCAAGGCCGAGTCAGGGCCAGAGGCCAGCTCTCCGACCACCTGCGAGCCCAGGCTCTCCCCCAAGACAATGTCTGGCTCCCGAAGGAGGGGTGGGCGGCGGCAGGGGCGTGGGGCGACTGGGGGCTCCCGCCTCGGGGTGGGGGTACACAAGGCGCGTCCTCGCTCGCCGGCGCTCCCCGGGCCTGGGTCCTCCAAGCCGGGCCCGGCCCGCGAGTCCGGAGGAAGCCTGCCCGCCCGCGCGGCTCGGCCCGCACGGCGGACGCGGAGCAGGCGGCGGCGCAGCCCCTGGCCCGCCCCTCTCCGGCGCGCCCTGTCCCACTCACCCACTCCCCGAGGCCCGCGGCAGGAGCCGAGCGAGGCGCAGGCCCGCGGCAAGGCCCAGCCGTCCACCGGGCGGCGCCGGCGCGGGCGGAAATGCGCCGCGGGCTGTGACCGCCTGTGGCTGCTCTAGGACGCGCCGGAGGTCCGCGCTCGGTGGTGCCCGGCCGGGCCGGCCCGGGGGCTCGGCGCTGACTGCAGGCGCCCTCCTGGCCCCACTGGCTCCCCGTCCGCCCTCGCTCGCCCGCGCAATTCTCTGGGTGAGGTGGTGGTGGTGACCTGTGAGGACCAGAGCCCCCAAAGGGGAAACGTTTACTGTTCTGCTTTTTGTGTTCCGTGTAATGTTTTCAGCGTGCTCCTCGAAGAGTGTTGTCTCCGATACTTTGTCCCTGCATCTGTTTGTGTAATTTCTAGTCTTTCGCTGGGATGACTCTTTCTGTCTCTTAGGCACTAAAGCTAAACGTTTAAGTCGGCGATGCTGTAAGAAAAAGCGATGTGCCTTTGAATCAGAGTCCACAGCGGCATTACTATAGATCCCGAGTCTCCGTTCTATTCCACTTTATTTAGGGATAAGCTGGAATATCCGCTTTCACACAAGCATTGCAGGTATGTTCTCTCTGGGCACAGCATAGCCTGCTGGACGCACGAGTGAAAAGCCCGGGCCTGCTCTGTGCAGAAACTGCACGTGGTGCTTACCACCAAGACAAAAAACTCGGTTTAAATTCCAACTTAAAAAAAGGGGGGGGGCTATTTCAAGCTCCTACGCAGTGCCAAATGGCACTGATTTTTGCTCGATAGACTTGAGGTAGTCAAAGTATCCAGCAGCTTCATAACGGGAATAAAGGTGCTGTGCCTGTGGGGCCTTTGAACCCACCAGAAGAGAGGGATCAAGAACCATCTTGCCCCACCTTATCTGCTTTGCCCAATAGACCGTTATATATTTTACTTTGGGGCCTCTTCAAAGCCTTTATTCAAGTATTAGTTGAGCTCTAGCTTTGTGGATTGTATTATTTTTGAGGCTGAAAGAATGTTGTTGTTGTTGTTTTTAAGATTTTATTTATTTGCGAGAGAGAGAATGAGGGACAGAGAGCATGAGAGGGAGGAGGGTCAGAGGGAGAAGCAGACTCCCTGCCGAGCAGGGAGCCCGATGCGGGACTCCATCCAGGGACTCCAGGATCACGACCTGAGCAGAAGGCAGTCGCTTAACCAACTGAGCCACCCAGGCGCCCGAGGCCGAAAGAATGTTTTAAGTATGATACGGCCCCTGGTTTTAGAAGCATGCACTGAGGCTGGAGAAGTATGTATTGGGAAGCCACCAACTAACAATATGAGGGAACAAATGAGAAGACAAAATGAGTGATTAAAATATGGAAAAAGGGAGATTAGTGGATATGCAGTTAGTTAAAAAGTGGGGCTTGAGCTGGGTCTGGGTCTGGTAGGATGGTTGAGACTTGGATTGATGTTGCCAAAATGGAATGATAAGTTGGATTTGGTCACGTGGAGTCCGACTTAGTCAAGTATTAAACACCAGAACTTGAACTTTATTTATCCCGACACTTGCTTAGCTCAGAAGGGCCCAGGAAGACATACGTCATTCCACAGCTAGGTCTTGGTCACAACTGAGATAGGATAGGGGTTGCCCACAGCAGTACTCTCCACAGACTCATCCATTCTGGAGCTTCCTGCCTACCCATCAAGGCTTCCTACAACTCCTCTTCTCAGGGTTGTTATATCTTCAGAGAATCATGGATAGAACTTTTTATTTTTAAAACTTTCCATTATATGGGAAATCTAAACATATATGGGAAATTTAAACATACATGAAAGTTGAGAAAATGTCTAATGAACCTTTATGTATAATGATCACTCACCTTCATTAGTACCATCTGGTTCATCTTGTTTCGCCTATAACCAAATCCTTCCCCTTCAAAGGCAACAGAAACCTGGATTATTTTAAGGCAAATTCCAGACACGATATAATTTTATCCATAAATACTTCTATAAGCATTTAAGACTCCTTTTTCTGGTAATGTCTCATCACTACATAATGATGGTGGGCAATTTAGTATATAAATATAAAAGATGAGTATTATTTATTTATTTATTTATTTATTTATTTTTATTTAAGTAAGCTCCATGCCCAGTGTAGAGCCCAGTAGGGGCTTGAACTCATGGCCCTGAGATCAAGACCTGAGCTGAGATCAAGAGTCATCACCCAACCTCCTGAGCCACCCAGGCACCTCCAGATAAGTTTTTTGGTGTTTGTTCTTTGCTTTAATGATTTTATTTATTTATTTGAGAGAAAGACAGAGAGAGCATGAGTGGGGGAAGGGGCAGAGGGAGAGGGAACAGGAGAAGAAGACACCCTGTTGAGTGGGGAGCCAACATGGGGCTGGATCCCAGAACCCTGAGATCATGACCTGAGCTAAAGTCAGACTTTTTTTTTTTCTTAAGATTTTATTTATTTATTTTTGACAGAGAGAGACACAGTGAGAGAGGGAATACAAGGAGGGGGAATGGGAGAGGGAGAACAGGCTTCCTGCGGAGCAGGGAGCCTGATGTGGGGCTCGATCCCAGGACCCTGGGATCATGACCTGAGCCAAAGGCAGATGCTTAACGACTGAGCCACCCATGCGCCCCTGAAGTCAGACTCTTAACTGACTGAGCCCACCCAGGTGCCCCAAGGTAAGTATTTTTTAAAATACAACAATAATATTATCATAAAAAGGCAATAATTCCTTAACATCAAATATTCATTCATTGTTTAAATTTTCCTGATCATCTCATAACTTTTTGAGCCTCATTTGTTCAAGTCAGAAAATAAACATATACAATAAAAACATTAAAAATCTCTTCTAAAAAACTTAACTACAATGTTATTGTCTCACCTGATGATCTATTAAAACACCCAATTACTTATGAATATCATCTAATAACTGTTCAGTGTTCAAATTTCCCTAATCCCAAAGAGTCTCATATATGAATGGTTTGTTTGAATCAGTATTCAAAAAAGGTTTACACTGCATTTAGTATAAGTTTCTAAAGTTTCTTTTAAACTTTTTTAAAAAGATTTTTTTTAAATTTATTTTAGAGAGAGAGCACAAGTTGGGGGAGGATCAGAGGGGGAGGAGAGTGGGGGAGAGAATCTCACGCAGACTGTGCTGAACGCAGAGCCCAACATGCAGCTCAACCTCACGACCCTGAGATCATGACCTGCTGAAACCAAAAGTCAGATGCTTAACCAACTGAACCTCTCAGGTTCCCTTCTTTTAAACTTTAATAGTCTCTTTTCCCTCTCCTTTTTTCCATAATTTATTTATGGAAGAAATTGGGTCACTTGTCCTCTAGAATTTCCCAAATTCTGGACTGGGCTGATTGCATCTCCATGGTATCATTTAACATGTTTCTCTATCTCTTGCATTTCCTATCACATGGGAATTAGATCTAGAGGCTTGTTCTAAGCCTTTTTAGCAGACAGAGCTAATATTTATTTATTTATTTATTTATTTATTTATTTTTTTAAGATTTTGTTTATTTATTTGCCACAGAGGGAGAGAATACAAGCAGGGAAGTGGCAGGGAGAGGGAGAAGCAGGCCCCTGTAGAGCAGGAAGCCCGACTCGGGGCTTGATCCCAGGATCCTGGGACCATTACCTGAAGCGAAGGCAGATACCTAACTGACTGAGCCACCCAGGGGCCCCATATATATTTTTTAAAGTGAAATAAATCATGAATTCATACTGATTTTTTTCAACTCAAGTATAAGATTATAGAGTTTTTACTTAATTTATTTAATGGTATACTGATGTCACTTATATAAAAAATCTTGGTTCCTGGGCGCCTGGGTGGCTCAGTTGGTTAAGCGACTGCCTTCGGCTCAGGTCATGATCCTGGAGTCCCGGGATCGAGTCCCACATCGGGCTCCCTGCTCGGCAGGGAGTCTGCTTCTCCCTCTGACCCTCCCCCCTCTCATGCTCTCTCTATCTCATTCTCTCTCTCAAAGAAATAAATAAAATCTTTAAAAAAAAAAATCTTGGTTCCTAATAACATTAACATAATTTGATTTAGCTCCAGTAAAGTAACTCTAGCAAACCACTGGATATATTACACTAGGTATGTACAGTCAAAAAACTATTTTTAGGTTACTTTTTTTTTTTTTAAGATTTTACTTATTTATTTGAGAGAGAGAATGAAAGAGAGAGAGAGAGAGCATGAGAGGGGGGAGGGTCAGAGGGAGAAGCAGACTCCCTGCTGAGCAGGGAGCCTGATGCAGGACTTGATCCTGGGACCCCAAGATCATGACCTGAGCTGAAGGCAGTCGCCTTCAGTTGGTTAAACTGAACCAGGTGCCCTACCTTTAGGTTACTTAAGAATTATTTTTTTCCATGTTGTTATGCCACCAACCTGATATACAGTTAGATTCTTTTATTTATTTTCCATTTTTAAGTATTTCTTTTTAAAATTTGTTTTAAATTATGTAAATTACTTACATGGGTTCCAAAGTCAAAATTATATTCAGAAAAGTATTACTTCCTTCCCTGCATAGGTGACACTTTATTAAAAATCAGTTTTAGAGGAACTTCGACTATGACAGCATGAAGTGCTCTATGGGCCCTATCCCTAGAAAACCTGGTTAAAATGATAACAAAACAAAACAACCCCCCCCACACACAATCATTTAAAGTCTCTGGAAATGGTCCTAAGGAAATTTAACAAATGAAGAAACATTTTTTTCATAAACTCTACCAAAATTCAGTAGGAACAGTGAGAGATAATAGTAGTTGAACTGAGACCTGCTTCCTCCCTTTCCCCTCCCGAATCAGTGAGACCGAACCTCCACTCTAGACTGGTGCAACCAATAACAGAGGTCTCCCTCTCCTCCCAGCTCACAGTCAGAGAGCTATCTTCTAGCAAGGGCTAGCACAACAGTGTTTCTCATGCTGCCCCCAGCTACTGGCTGGTGAGGCTAAATTCCAGA